CAATTAGTTAATGATTTGTCCGATCGTGACCGTTTTTTTATGAAAAATATCTCAATGAAGGATTGACCTTCAGTAAAAAGTTCAGGCGAAACGAATGCTCTCTTAAAGATATATAAGTCGCACAAAATATCACAGAAAAATGTCATTTTTTGATGGGGATGATCTCAGAAAAATTTTAATAACTTAAGAACGGAGTGACCTTTCTTAAAACGGATTGCGTAGAAACTCATCAAACACTGGCCTCTACTACATATATAAAAATGACTTAAATTAGTGACCATGACCACCGATTGAGCAGGGTCGATTGTGGGTTATGTGAAGTGGTTCATAGAAAAATTTGTTTTGATATACACGTAGCGTTATTAGTTTTCTAGAAACAGTTATCTTTATAGATGAATTGAATATTAAGACAATGTAGAAAATCTTCTTGCTTTTTTCTATTCGTAAAAAATATTTTTGTTAAAATTTAATATTGATTCAAACTAGGTTTTTTGCTATATATGTGTACGTGAGACTGAAAGGTATTGATAAGAAAATATAATGAAGATAGATGTGAGAAAGTTCTAAATTATTTTCAAATATAATGAAATTTAATTTTGTGTGCAATAGATACATATACATACGTATATATAAGTATATACAGGTGTTCTTGTTCATAATATTATTAGACTTTCATGTATAGATACTTTATGGGATTATGAGAGATATCTTATTTATACGTAACAGCGAGAAAAGAAAGACAGAACAATGTCAAGGCGTGGGTCACATACAAAAAAGTACGCAATCATCGTAGAGTGCGATTAGCTATTCAAATAATCTAGAGTATGAAATTTTTTCAATATGTACGAAACCATTCTCATAGCTATGAAAAGGTAACAATTGTTATGAAATAGTGGAAGAAATATTTCATATTGTTTAAACGGCTATTAGTTTATAAATAGCTAAGGGTTTTTGTATTTAGCTAGGAGTTTTTTAATTAGCGTTGTATGTTGAAATGGCTGCGAAGTTTTCAATAGATGCGCAAAGTGTAAATAGCTGCAGTAAATTTAAATACATGTAGGATATTTGAATGGCCATAGGAAACTTCAAGTAGCTAATATTAAGTAGCTGTATGATCATTAAGTAGCTGTAAAATGATTAAGCAGCTGTAGGTCGATTAAGTAGCTATATGAAACCATTAAGTAGCTGTAGGTTGATTAAGTAGCTATTAGCTTTTCCCCAAAAGTATCTCTTTTGAGAAGCTACGGTTTTACTAAAGATATATAAAAAAATTCGAGGCATTTTTTTTCCAATTTGTCCCAATCACGATTATCCCGTCCTGAAAAATTTTCGGGGCAAACGGGGTTTTTCGAGATTCGGAACTGTCGTGCAAGACTATAACAGAAATATAGCGTACTGAACTCGCAAATATTTCACCTAGTCATATCTTTTCAACTTACATGATTGTCTTGCCTTCTTATTAAGACAATCTTCTATTTTCATTCAAATAGTATCATAATATTAATGCATAAATAACTACACAGGCCACGACAGGCAGGCCGACGAAAATGACAGGCCGCGGGAAATATATAACAGGTACAGACAGGCTGCAAGGGTTTACAGTCTGTCCTGGACTGGTCAGGCCTAGGAAAAATGGGCCTATTTGGATCTCTGGTGTTACTCTATTCTACAGTTCCAAACCGCATTAATCATCATTCTTGTATTGAAGTGGCAAATGATTTTTGGTCAAATAAAATTTTTTGTTTAATTTCTCAATTGATGTAAATAGTAATATATTAATTACTGAGTGAGTTTTCTGGACTCGTTGTTTATAATACTTGTAAAAATCATGGAAAGCGAAATGTAAAGCTCTGGTTCAACAAGGAACAGTCGTAAATGAAATTTCGTACGATAACCACTGAAAAAATAATGTTTCCTATGATAATGATACTCTTGAAAATAATCTGATTTTCAAATATCATACAATTTAGTCTAAATTCTGTATCTCTCGTCTAAATGATTGTTATAAAAATTCCTCAGTACTATGTGACTACTGAGATGTTTGGTGAAGCGAATTGTACCACATGTTTTTACTGAGAGAAGAAAGCCTTGTAATAGCAATGAAATTAAGAAATACTAGACACGAAAGTTGAGAAACGCATCCAAGCAAAGTTCGATTTATCATACAATGTTTTCAGAATGCTGATCGATCCGTTCATGATTTAGATCAAAATCACATTCTGTAGCTCATTAGTACTAAGTATCCAACAGATCGGCTCATATGCTTTTCTTTTCTCCTAATGACATTTATACTACTTAGTTATTGTAAAAATATGTACACATATAATTATTAGCAAATGACCTTATCAGTAACAATATATTTGTTGTCTCTTAAAATATAATTAAAATAGGTGTTGGTATTAGTGAATTCTAACTGTATTCTTAGAATTTATTAGCTATCTCCTTTAACAGACAACTTCTTGAAAATCATTGTATATTATTCAACTCGACTTATTAGAGTTTATTATTCTATACGAGTCAATCTATTCAGTCCACTTAAGGTGTATCATTTACACATTTACCTATCTATCAAAGATCGAAAAGACCTAGTTAACAGAATGAACTCACGTCTAACCATCGCGTGCTGTTTATGAAAAAATACTGTTGCTTTGTAAATAGCTCAGATTTATTATTAAATTTACATTCTACGTTCTCTCAAATCGTTAGAAATACTGAAGTGATCATTTCGTAATAATTCTTTCGATATTCTATCGAGGAAAAAATTTCTCAAATTATGAATTGATAGGGCTTAAACTCCCATTGGTATGACTGAACTCCTCCTGACCCTAGCTTGGTCACGCCGCTAGATGAAAATTCATCAAATTTTATGAAATAGCACTCAAGGGTAAGATCAAATATTACTTTATATCTCTTTATAACAATCCTCGAAAGACCTCAAAATTTGAATTGAAGCATAAGTTTTCATAGACTTTCGAACTGTACGGCTTGTTTCAAAATCAAAATTTTGACATATAGATGCTTTATCACTAGTCTGGTGTATCCTTTCCTAGAAAACCATAAATATGTTTATACTGTTTGTAGTTTATCTAAAACATGTTATGAAAGATGAAAATCTTGGATACCTGGTAATGAAATTTTCAACCTCAATAACGTTTTCATATAAAAGTTGATTGAATTCAACATCCAATCTAGGGTACGAAGCAAAGCCCATTGGGTCCAAACACTTTTGGATCGAAATCCGAACCTTGGACTGATTTATTAAATTATTTTTGAGCCGGACTCGAAGCGAGTAGGTCAGGATATGTTCAGATCCGGTCTAATGGACTCCAGTACGAAGTATCTTTTACACAGGCTGCTCAGTAGAGACTATCGAGTCCAAGAATTTCTGGACCCGGACCTGGTGAATTTAATTCTTTTGGACCCGGATCCGGACCCGGTCGATCAAGATTTTCAGACTCGGACCTGATTGATCATTTTTTTGTGGGTCCGGACTTGAATCATACTCTTACTTCTCTTCATAAAATTTTCTAATCTAATTTTGACTATCGCTTCGAAGATACGGTATACTTTTCATTTTTTTTTTTTTTTTTTTTTTTTTTTTTTTGTTAGATGATTAGTATACGTAGGGCTCTCAATTCATAGTTACTTTCAACTTAATTCGTGTGTAAATTAAATTATCAGTAATTTATATTTAAAATAAATATAAATATATTGTTTTCATAATTTATATTTATTGCTAAATCTAAATAAATTTTCTTTTATAATTTATATTCAAAAATAAACATAAATGATCATACATTATATATATTTTAAATATAAATAATGATTATTTATATTTATTTTTAAATATAAATTATGAAAAATAAAATACTTATGTTAGTTTTAAATATAAATTACCGATAATTTATATTTATTCTAAATTGACAGGAAAATGACACCCGAAGCATACTTTATATATTCTTTAAACAATCCGATAGTGATCTCATAATAACTAAGTTAGAATTAGTTCTTACTCCTATTCAATAGTTTCTAATAAAAGAATAAATGTATGCATTACAAAGGCTTTATACTATTTCTTATATCCGACAACCATTCCATTATCAATAATACTTTGCTTGGTACCGACTCATATATACATGAAAAAATAATATACGATGAATTTTTTCTAAAGAAGAAACTTGTCCACTTAGTAGAAAATTATGACAAGTCAATCACATTTTATAAGCCAAAAAATCTCATATTTTTTTATAAACAAATTAAGCTTTTTTGAATCAAACGATCGAAAATTTAAAGAAATTCGTAAAATTTCATTATATACATCAAAAGTTTTTTGATTCAGTCCCAATGAGCAAAATATTTCAGACCTGAACCCGGACTGGGTCAAATACAATTTTCAGACGCAGACCCGATAGGCTCTACTGCTCAGTATTCATTAAGGCTAATAACAATAACATTCTAAGAAATAAAAAAGAAAAGCGACTAATAAAGTGTTTGATTAGAAGACTATTGTGATCGTTACATAACCTTTTCATTATGGAAATACTTGATGCAATAACTATTCGTGCATATTTTACATCTGATATTAATTTACAAAAATTACCAAAATTTCAGATCAAACTTGTATTTGAAATAATTTCATTTAGTTTGAATCTTTTAGCTGAATTAACTTTTTCATCACTTATTTCCTATCGACCTTTTAATCCTCAAAATGTTTCTCAGATTTTTTTTTTGTAGCTAGTAAACTGACTCCAGAAGCATTTTTCAAATAAAAAATTTATTTATTTTTGTATACCATCATTTATTCTTCAGTTTTCTTTATGGGTATTTTTAACACAAAATTTTCTTACAATGCTAAAAAAGATTGTTTCAATTAAAGAAAATCGAAATCAATTAATCAAAAGATTTATTTATCTTTTACTTTGTTTAATACATCAATAGTACAAATGTTAACAATATTTTTAGTCATTTTATTTTTATGAATATGATAAATTATAGTCCTTTCACATGAGGAAAGTAAGCTCAATTTCTTCATTTGTTGGTAAATAAGGTTTCATGTAAAGGTGCATAATTGATAGAATATTAAATACAAATTTATTTAATCGTGATAAATGATAAATAATATTTTCCTTTAAATTATTTCCATCAATAAATATTTTAAAACTGCTAAGCTCAATATATAAAGTGAGTTCTTCGAGATTTAACATTCGATGTATAAGTGGCACAATTAATTCCCAATAAAAGGACATGTCGGTATCACATGTTAGAGAAAACGATGTTAAACTAGGAAGTTTTTCCTAAAAAAAACAAAACAATATGTGAATATTAAAAAAATTATTTTAAGAAGTTATTCTAAAAATTGAATATTTACTTTAATGTTAATCAACATATCTTATAAATTAACTTACTTTATTATTGATCACAACAAACGGACGACTAATCGAAAGAATATTAACATAGAATGTACGAAGTTGAATGAAACATCCATCAAGTAGATAGAGACAATCGTCAAAACTTCTCAAATTAACATGTAATTCTGTTAGTATTGAAGAGAAAATATTTGGAGGTTTTCCATCGAATGATAAGTAATGGATATATTCAATTGAAGGTGAAAAGAAATTTAAATATTGTAAATTGATGAAAATAGTAAAGATATGTGTATATATACTTCTTATTTCATTTTTTATTGATGTTTTATTATTGTTGGTCATTGTAATAACTAATTTTGAAATTTTTTTTTTATAGATATGAGTTAAAGTACTTTCATCTAAACATATGTAATAAAAATCACTGAGAAAAATTCTCACAATTGTTATCATTTATTAAATCAGAATATATTTCTTTAGTTTTCATTTAACTCCACATAACATGCAGATTTTCTTTTTATGAAAGATGTTACCAAATATTTCACATAGCATTGATAACTAATTCTACTTCTGTATACATATTATCTTCTAGGTTACCATATTATATTTCTGGAAATCTTTCAAAATTCGAAAACATAAAACCTTCCATATGAAACATTTTTAATTAGATGAAGCTTTACTCACTTTGTATCTATATATAAATATATCTTTCTCTTTTTCAATCTACAAATTAATTTCTCTTCTTCTGATTTTGTCCTAAATTCTATTTAATTCGAATGTGAATCAGATTTCTGGTAGATAATATCTATTAAGATTTAGTTTAGTAAACTAAGGACTTAAAAAGAATTAATCGATTTACTTCTCGAATACTTCTAAATTTTGATGGATGGAAGAATCATCGTATTTCTTACCAGCAAATAAACGTCTAAATGTTTCGTCTTCAATATTGTACAAACCAAGTCCATGTAAATTAGAATAATTAGTAATAAGTAGAATACGTTCCATAGATAATGGTTCAACGTTAAGCCATTTGATTTTATGATGAATTTCAGGTAAGATTTGTAAACAAAACCGATCAAGTATTGTATTATCTAGTGGATAAATAAGATCATTTGATGAATATCTGAATAATGTCAAACGATTAGTAAAGATTGGATCACGTATAAATTGAGTAAGTTTTACATTAATGCCCATTAAAGAATAGAGTAGATCAACATTATTCAATGTCTTAAAAATTAATATAAGTATTTCGTCGGGCAAATCGATTAATTGAATCAATGAATGTTTCATATTCATATTCAAATATCAATTCTTCTTAATTTGCATATGTTCAGAATATATATATATATGAGTCAATTGCAACTTCACTATACCGTTGATAAAAAAAAACAAAAGTCAGTTGATAGAAAATCTGGATAGTGCATTTTGTTCGCCATCCTTTACTGAGTATTTGGTAAAATTTTCCCAACTACCCGAGCTAAGGCAACCGAAATATTTAAGCAGGAAGTTCGAATTTTCGTCCCTAAGCATTTATTTGAGAAAGTCTCTAGCATTTATCCCAAAGAAGACTTATTACATACCGATCGATAGATCTCGTCGAGCTCTATCTAGATAGGTGATGTTTGATCCATTTTAACTTCACTTGAATCTCTATGAACCCTATTTCCGCCACCAAAACCGTATGAAAAACGGTTTTCGACGAAACAAACAAGTGAAAACGTATTTTAGTGTATTTATCACTCATTTTTTTGTCTATCGGATTCACCAGTATCATTTAAAGCTCTCTACTTCGCATTCCAGTCCCATTTACACGTTGAAAAATCAATGAATATTTTTTTCCAACTTCTGTTCTCGTTTAATATCGATTAACACACTTTCACGAAAAGTACAGCTTTATAATAATTCAGAAGACAATAACAGTTAGTAGCACTTTAGAAAGACATTCAATTCTAAACAAGACGCATTTAAGTAAGAAATTTTTTTTTATCACCTCAGAGCAGAAAGACAGTTTTTTTCATTGAGACTTTTCTTATGGTTTTTAGCTACTTTTGGAAGGACTTTAATGTGTCTAGTTTTACTCGCTACTTCAAGTCGAGTCTAGCGGTGTGTAATAAATGTATATTTGAGTGATCAAAGCTCGAAAAAATATCGAAAAAATGTTACTCTACATTTTCTAGTATCATGTAAAGTTTTGCTAGAAGGAGGGGTCGTATAACGCTGAAAATTTTATCTGTAATACCAAAACAAATATCATTCATTGAGAAAAAGTTTCAGCGAAGTCACATTAGTATTTGTCGAGTTATGACCGAAAGAAGTTTGAAAATGTTACTCTACACGATGAGTGTAAACGGAATTTTTCAAAAAGTAGTTTCCTGTTTCTCAAAAACGAGAAGAAAAAGTTACCAATTTTTTTTGTTCGTTTTGTAGCAAAAATCAAGGTCTTTCTTTTTAGATATGGACTGAGTCTTTTTTTTTATCGTATACCGATCGCTACTTACCGTTTTGTGTTACTCTACAAAAAATCAAGAAAATGACTGTAATATAGTTTTGAAGACAAATGAGTAGGAAAAAGAGAGAAAATGTAGAAATGAAATATATGCTTCGATAATTCCTCACGTGCTCTACAAAATGGCTTATTTACATTTTTCTTTCTTTCCTTTCCTTTCCCAAAAATTCTATTTTCCCTGGAACAACTAATTGAAAAAATGTATTTTTTTGCCTTAAGATACGTTTAGCTCAAGGAAGCAATCAGCCACTGACCTGAAATTTTCTGTGGTAGTAAGACGAAGTGAAAGGAGTAAAATAAAATAAAAAAATTTGAAATTTGGTTTACAACAGCCAGAGTTATAATGAAAATACACTAAAAAAGCAAAGGTATAATAACGTTGCAATTCACTCATATATATGTTGATATCGTTCAATTTGACCGGCGTCGTCAATGAAATAATGTACTTTTTTTTTTTTTATAGTCAAGATCGAAAATGATTCAATGAATGACCTTGTCTTCTCTATTCGCTCGACAATTTTCATAAGACAGACATATATGTAATGTTAGTTTGTTTACTGTGTACGATATACACCGGAACATAATGAAGATGTTTCTTATGCTAGATTAAAAATTATTTCTTCTTAATTCCAATTGATAGTTGATTAGGTAAACAAAAAGACAACATAAATCTCTGACCATTATCTTCGCTTATTTTTATTTCGATTAGACGATTTGTAAAACCACATAATAAATCAATAAATTGATAAAAAATCAGAATTAATTATTCTTGTGATGCAATATATAGCAGAAGAAATTGAAAATATCAGAATATATAAATCTAAAGTTAATACACTACTTTGTGATACTATAAAAGATATCAAGTCATTTTTTCTTTCAAGTGAAGATTTATCAAAAAAGTTTCGGAAGTTCTAGTGAAACATCTTGTAAGCAAGTTCTTGGATCTTGTGAACAAGATTTTGGTCAAGATATAAGTTACAGAAATGTTAATAGATCTTGAAAATTTAGGAACAAGATAATGTGATTATCCTAGACCAAGATCTGTATAGTTAGATGTTGGGTACAGATGAATCTGATGCAGTTATGACATAATAATGTGAATTCTTTACCCAAGATCTTAAAATCTTGGACAAGATCTTGACTTAATAATATTTGTGGAAATTATTTTGCTATTGCTTGACACTATATTGTGCCAAATTGTTCAAGAAAACATAACCTTCATTTAAGGATTTTCATAAGAGCAATAATTTCGAACGTTTTTTGAATTGACCACTGGCCTCTACCTTGATTCCTTGTGTTCGTAGAAGACATTTGACGTCAGATTCATATTCAACATAAAATATTGCATCAGATAGCATATTTCAGAAATATTTAGAGCCATCTATAATTGGATTTTAGTGATCATTTTGAGGACCATAGGTATTTTAGCCAAGATCTTATAAATCTATACTTAAGATCTAATTACAGATCTTGATACGAGATAATGCGATTATCTTGTATCTAAATTTGTGAAGATCTGTTAACATTTCTATAGCTTATATCTTGGTCAAGATCTTGCTTACAAGATGTTTCACTAGGAACTTCTATCAGTTATTATGGGAAGCACGACTGTTGTGTGTAAGACAATTGTTTATAAGACAATTGTGTGCAGACAGTTGTGTGTAAGACACTTGTGTGCAGATGATTTTGTGTAAAATGAATGTGTGTCATGTGTAAATAAATATTTTTGTCCACAATTGAAAGACAGTGAACAAAAAAAAATAAACAAAATAACAGAAGTCAATCAATATGAACAAATCAATGAACAGTTATAACATGAATGTATGAGCAATCGCTTTTAACTTTTGTATATTACCATTTGTAGGTTTTTCTAGTTAGGATAGGGACAACAAAAAGACCTGAAACTTTTACAATAACCTATTCTCATTGCGGCCTATCTCTATGCAAAGTTTCAAGTTGAAATTGGAAACTCAGTTTTCCTAGTGTTCCTGAGGGGGACCACGGCTTTTTTTCTTAAACATGCAGTAAAAATGCAATATCTCCGTAGTAATAAGCTAGCAGCACGAACTTTTTTCAGAGTATTCATAGATCATTAGAGCCTACATGATGCACATACACTCGACTCAAAAGCAATGTGACAGTTGGGAATGTTCCCTCGTTAGTATATTTTGTAGATCTAGGTGGGCTATGTTTACCATAAAAAAATTTCATGTCCATGGCCTGTTTCTAAGGAGATCGAACATTTTTAGTTTTATAGCTAGATATTTTCAGTATATCTCAATTGCGTTGTATACAAATGATCTCCGATTTTGATGAAGTTTTCAGCACTTGTAGAACTTTTAATTCTGAGCATTTCGATAAAAAAAAAATTTTCAAAACACTTTTGTTTTGATGGAGATACATTCAAAGTACTGTAAGTAATAAAAATCCAAAAACGCTCAAGAAAAATTTTTCTCAGAGTTTTTGGGTTTCGTACTGCCTGCAGTATTTGGAGTGTATCTTCATTAAAATAAAAGCATTTTGAAACAATTTTTTTTATCAAAATGCTCAGAATTAAAAGCTCTACAAGTGCTGAAAACTTCATCAAAAACGGAGATCATTTGTGTACAACGCGGCTCAGATATACTGGAAATATCCAGCTATAAATCTAAAAACGTTCGATCTCTTTAGAAACAGGCCATGGGCACAAACCTTTTTTATGGTAAACATAGCTCACTAAGATCTACAAAATGTACTAAGTCCCGACTGATAAGTGCTCCAATACCTGGGAATGTTCCCTCGTAAGTGATGAATATTTCCCTAACAGGAGTAAAATCACTAAAATAATCCCCAGTTATTTTAGATTAGGTCGTGTGAAGTTTAAAACATGAACAAAAACGAATAGTTGGCTCGCTCTAGTCAATCGGGAATAGCAAAAAATAATTGAATATCCAATCGAGGATAAACTGGGCAAATGATTTTCACTATCTCACGACATGATTTGAAGTTAGACACATATAGAGAGAACTTCACTTTCTCTATTGAATGAGACCATAATTCGCTGAATTATATAGTTAAGCTCATTAAGTTTCCTCCGTTATAATATATTCACTTTGAAAAACAAATGAAGTTTGAAGGGTAAAAATTATATCAGGAAAAAAGTAGCGTTTTTCTCGTACAATACATGTGTTCACGACCTATATTTACATAGGACTCTATCTATTAGCAATAATAAACTAAGATGAAGACTGTTTTATCAATGCAAAATTTGAAACGATTCAGTTTCACATTTCTTTGCAACTACCGTTGAAGTAAAAATATAGAAGAAAGTATCCGTCAATAGGATATCAAGATTCACGATATACCTATTAGAATATTCACTTAATGGACTCGCGGTACCTATATGCTGCTAATTTATCAATTTTGTGTGAGCGGACCGTAATCTGTCTAATGCGATCCTAACATGAGTGTGAAAGAAGTGTATTATAGATGAAGATGCTAGGTGTAACAGTAATGCTTCTTATTCTAATGCATGCAGGTGGAATTCGAATTTTTCAACGCTAATAACTTTTCATGCAATATAACAGAAAGAAAATTTGCATCCGACACTAATCACTAAAACTACCTTAGTCAGCTTGTCTTTTATTATCTCTATCAATTCGTTTCCACTCAAGAATTTGAATTAAGATTTGCATCTTCTTATTTTAATAGCAATACGAAAGATGTATTCAAATCGAAGAAAATATTTTTCATCATGAGTAGTCCTGAAGAATAAATCAGATCTGAATTTGTAACTGCAAATTTGAAAAGG